CATACCATATGATCAGTTCAGGGGAAGGATTGTCCACGGTTCATATACATTTTTAAAATTTTTTTAAGGATGATTTTTTGCGTATGGGAGAGGGGGGTCTAAAATTAACCAAAAACTGTCCACGTGGCTTCTGGACAGCCCCGCAGTGTAACTCATGCTATCTGAGTTTAAACAACAGGAACTGCCAAACAAACTCTCAAATGCTGTCAGTAAATCAGCAATAGAATTTGCAGGCAAACAATTAATGCTGAAGCTATTTTTTTTTAAATCATATTTTCATTTTTCTCAACAAGTTTGACCGACCATTGGTCTAGACTGCATCATTGTGCAACGTTGAGTAATTTCGACCACCTGTGAAATTGTGGAACGAATAATGGATTCGATGATGCGTTGTACTAAAAACAAAACTTACCAATGGATAATGCAAATTGGCAAAATTACATCATCTTCGTTGAAGTAAAAAAAAAACCCCAGAGTAATCCCACTAGTGACTTTCTCGTATAAGATAAACATAAAAAGAAGATTATTTAAACTCACTGGGTTTTCCCAGCAAAACAATTCACTGCTTTTTTTCTTACGATTACTTAGTCATTCAGCTTCAATCTGATTATATTTTTACGATTCAGCAAACACTGAGCTTGTAAAGGGCCTATCAGCTTTTGTAAACAACACTTAAAGAGCCTTTTCGCGCAAACCGAGGCGTGTCCACGGAGACCAACAACACCAACAGGTAGGGGATTTGTGCCTTCTTGATGGTGTTCTTGGTTTGCGTGGGCGAGCTTCGGTTCGCGAAAAAAGGCCCTTTATGTTTTGTTTACAAAAGCTGATAGGCCCTTTTTTAAATTTACCCGAGATTTTATCAGGTTTTTCTTAAAATGGAAAATACGTACTACAAAATGCTGCTGATTCCGAGTTGCCGATAATAGAACAGCTTTCTAACACGCAGTTCAAATGGAAAGGTTGCCAAACAAAAACAGGGTAGTCACACTCTGGGACGGGACTTGACAATCGGGTAGCGATTTCGAGTCAATTTGCTGTCAAATCCGAGTCAGTTTCTGATTGGTCGATTTGACAGTAGCAATTGTGGAATAAAAAGGACAGAGGATCGCATCAACATGGTTGGCAGTGATGCCGGAATCAATGTTGACGTCAGTGGCGTTGTTAATTATTTATATTTGCGAAAGGAAAGTTGAAAACTTGAGTGCACTGCGTGTTTTAAGCGATGGATATTGTTGTTTGTTTATGGTTGTTTTTATTGTGTTGAGCAAAAATGATGTTCTAAACTACGGTAGAAACTCCGAATAAAATCCAAATTAAAATAGAAAAAAAATTACTTTCCTGACATCATTGTTCAACTCCGTCAAATACCACTCACAACTTTCCGAAGGGCATTCTTCAAAAACATTAAGAAAAATAAGAAGCTCGATTGTCAAGTCCCGTCCCGGGTCACACTCACCTGAGAAGTTTGGAGCGTTGTAAAAGCGTTTCAAAACAGTTTTAGACAAATCTATCGATTTGAATGGATAAAGTACCAGGCAGCAGATGATTGTAAACAAACAAACAGTGCACATTGCTGGCATTGCGTCGAGAAAAAGACCCATAGTAGCACGGAAGCACGGACGCTGCTTAGGTTGAGGCTGTCACAAATTTCGTGTTTTACTCGTGCTTTTTGGCTTCTGCCAAGGGGAAAAGAAATTCTGTTTCATTATTATCATGGTCAGTGATGGCATAATTATAAGCAAATTGATATTTTTCCGTTCTCATACGCTCTCAATATTACGCATGATATTAAAGCAAAATAGCATATTTGACATTGATTTTACAAGCTCTTTTGATATTACGAGATTATTCACAACGTGTTAAGTTGAAGCAGAGGGTTGAATCGGCGCAAACATGATTCTGTTGCATCTCGTTTTCTTGGAAAGAGAAGGTATAATAATGCTAGCACTTTTTTCTCTACACCGATGGCAGACATCTTGTTCTTTATAGTAGAAGCCATATTATGTGAAATAATGCATCGAACAATGTGCATACATTTTTATATAAAGAAGTTCCGGGCAAAAAGCGAAAAAAATAACAAATTTTTGAGTTTACGTCTCAGAATTCCATGAAACTTCGTATAATTGTTCGCTAAAGGTAATCAACCAAGTTTGAGGGGGAAATTAATGTTGAAAACTTCAAAATCAAAAAAGTGCATTTTTCAAAATTAAAAACTAATGTTTATTTGATAGCTTATCAAAAATGCTAGCTTTTCTGAACACAAGTACACAATAAAAAAATAATTTTGATATCACATCAAAGTAGATGCACTTCAATCGTGTTAAAAATATGGTGTAATATTAGTTGCAAAAAAGGACAAAATTATCATTAATACAGTGCATGAACTGACATCACGCTGCTTTTACTGCATTTGTTTATTTGTGTGGCCTTAAAAATTACATGAGATTTTTGACATGATTGAACTGCATCCTCTTGGATATAATACTAATATTTTTTCCTGTGTATAAAAATCTGAAAAATGAACTTCTTTTATTATTGAAGTTTTAAAATTTTTTTTTTTACGAAAATTGGTATTTTTTATCAGTGTGTATGTTTTTATGAAAGTGAAAACCAGTTGAAAACGAAAACCAACTTTGTCATTTTTATCAGATGAACTGTTTTTTGCTATGATTTATTGAAAAATTTAGAACACGCAATTTTGAAAAATTAGGCGAGAGTCAAAATGGACTTGCTTGGCAGCTCATATTACCAGTACAATATTGATTACGATGTAGATTAAATAATACAATGTTAAAAAAAAACATATCTGTTATGTTTGCTCTGAAAACTATTCTTAAACCTTTAAGAATCATTTTCCGAGCTTAAATAACAAAAATGAAGTTTCAAAATTTTACCGAATGATGTTTTACCATTTTTGCCAATTTTAAGTTTGACACTTAAAAGTTTCAGAAAAAATTGTAGTTTTATAAGCTTAAAATTAAAAATCTGTTCAAAAATATTTAAAATAAATACATTTTTTTGCTATGTATTAAAATTTTAAACTTTTTTTGTTTTTAGATAATTTGCTGATATTTTTACCGTGTAATTTTTTTCGGAGGAGGGACTATTCTACATTTTTTCTCATAAGTCATTTGGATAAGAAAAGACGTGTTCATGCCATCATTTATTGAATAGTTTTCTAAAATGACGTACGGGAACGGACTTAAAAAATAGTTACAAAACAAATGAGGCTCTGCAAATGCCCCAATTTCAGCACAAATTTGAATGAATAGGCAAAGTTTCAAAAAAATCGGAGAAGATCGAGTCTTAAATTTGTTTTCTATTTGGCCTGTAAATGTGCAATTCAATATAGAGTTACTAATTCTAAATTGATGAAGATGTTTTCAAGGTATTGCTTGAAATTTGCAATAACGAAATCCAAATTTTACTTACAGTTTATAAAAACGTAAGATTCATTGCAACTGGTAAAAAGATAGTAAATGTTCAGTTTTACTACAAGTGTGCAATTTTTAGGCTATATATAAACTGTCCATTCGTTGCTTCAAAAATAGATTGATTGAGCTATAGATGTCGCACAAATGGTTTGAAATTTGTAAGAAGATCTTTAAATTTCTCAATTATCGATCTATGTTCTAATAGTCCAAACGCTGTAAAAATTCAATATGTGGCTATGACAATGGCCAACCAGCCTGTTGTTGTAACGGTCAGTTTGGTAGCAAATCAAGAAAGATGAAAATGAAAAAGTACCAAAATATAGCAATTGATAGTTGAATATATGCTTGAAAACAACATCAATTTCATAACATCAACAACAAACTTGCTTATCGACGTCATGGCATCAACAATTATAAAATTCTTACAATTTGCTGACAACTTGATACAAATATAGAGTGTAGTGAAATTCAAAAATGTTCCATAGTAATTCTCCAAAATGTCCATACAAATTTGAACCCACTTGCACGACCTCTAAATCTTCATCAATCTTAACCATTTTTTGCACAGGCTCTTATTTTTGGGTTACAAATCATACTTATCGGTGGCCTGTTAGATTGTAAATACTTTTCAAAATGAAGCACCATACTGCCAATAAACGTACACAGCAAAAAAATAATTTTGATATCACGTCAAAGTGGATGCACTACAATCATGTCGAAAATATGGTGTAATATTACTTGCTAAAAAGGACAAAATTATCATTAATACAATGCATGAACTGACATTACGCTGCTTTTACTGCATTTGTTTATTTATGTGGTCATAAAAATTACATGAAATTTTCGACATGATTGTAGTGCATCCACTTTGATGTGATATCAAAATTATTTTTTTGCTGTGTAGACAGTTGTCACAGTTAAATTTCATGCTTCATTTCACAGATTTAAATGTAAATATACACAGCAAAAAATAAATTTTAATATTACTTGTCGAAAATCTCATGTAATTATTTGGCACAAAAATAAACAAAAACAGTAATTGCAGCTTAATGTCAGTTCATGCACTGTCCTTTTTGGCAAGTAATATTACACTATATTTTTGAAACGATTGAAGGGCATCTACTTTGATGTGATATCAAAATTATTATTTATTTTTTTGCTGTATAAGTAAAGCTTCATATGTGGTTCAAATAATTGAAAATTCGTTAATTCTCGAGCTTATGTTTATATTTATGTAGAAGGAAAACTCTTTAAACAATTGTATCAAAATTTTAAAAGATCGATCAAAGGACAATAAACAGTAATCATAGTATAGAAATCTCAACGAAGTGAATTAGTTATGAAGAGGTTGTTTGAAAATGCTCGTTTCAGCCTGCTTCTAAAATTTGACAAATTAAATTAACTTTACCGGGAAAATTCCCAACAATTTTCGCAAAACTGAAAAGACCTATTGTATCAGAACGAAATGGAAGAATAATTCAAATGTCGCACAATCGCTGTTTCGAACAATACACAACAAATATCTTTAGAATGTTAGTTCTTGCTTATTCGCAATTGGATAATTACCGGTGAGTTCGATACTTCGAACCGTGTTGAAACCATTTTGTCTTATCGTTGAATATTGCCTGCCGTTGATTTACTGCTGCACTTTCCGAGTAGTTCGCAGTAGGTGTGGTTCTCCTTTCAATTTAAAAATTTCCTTTTGTGCCTTTGCAGACCGTTTACATGCCACGATCGGACATTGATAATGATAGCACGCTCTTCTACTCCGTTGAACATATGCACTAACTGTGTTCGACCAACTAAACCATTCCACCAGACACTGTGTTATTACTTCATACAGACGCTTTCTGATGTAATCTTCTGTTTGATAGATTCACTAGAGACCACACTGAATCTTTTAATTCGCTTCCAATTTACAACAATTCGTTTACACAAATACAAAGAAACAGCAGTCTACAATTAACACTAGCATACTGGGTTTCCTCTATTTACTTTTCTCAAACACAGTGTTGATCAGTTTTTTTTTGAGAAAGTATCATAATTTGATAACGTTTCACCTGTTTCGACGGTTTATTGATCCGGTGGATGATCGAGACACAAACACGCGCGCGAAATTTTATTTCTGTTCCATTCTCTTCAACTCAAAAACTGATCAATTTTCTTTCAGCCATGCCAAATACACACCAACCGTGTCTATTGGTCCAGCAGGTCTGGCATGCTGGTGCTGTGCGTGATATAACCTTTCTGTCCGAGTCTCGTGCTTTTGAGTCACAGAATAAACGATCGAAAAGTGAAAACAAAACAACCACCACGTGCTCTCTACACCAGGGTTATGGATGGAAGCGAAAAGTAACAGCAAACAACGGATCTGCAACGAACAATAAAGTTAACTGAACCGCACAACGTTTTTCGAACCTCGCTGGCAGTCGGCTATTGGAAGACTGATCGAGCGACTGTACTGTTTAACCATAATAAATGTAGAAAATGAATTTTTAATAAGTTTCGCTGCACATACCTAGACCTACGCGAGCCGGCTCGGTGCCTGTTGCGGTTGGTCTTTCGCTTGGAAGTATTGAAATCGAAATTGTAGTCTGTATGGACATACTGATTCAGATTTACTGCTTCAACAACAGATTTAAGAAGAATCAGTTAAATGACTGTGAAGGTTCTACAGCATAAAATTACTTCTAATTTTTTGAGAATATTATTAAACCGTAGAGAAAATGTGGCTAGATAAAATATAGTGGATAAAAATAACACGACATTTTTATGTGCTTTTTCATCACTGGTCTCACTATGTCCCCTAAAGTCGATAATGACGTTGATTTTTTTTTCTTCAAATTAGCGCACAGGCTTTTCAATAGATGCTTCTTCTCCCTCTTCTATCATTTGCATGCACAGAATTATAATGATTTATCCGCAAAAAATCCAATTGTTCATTTTACCCAGAACACTCATTTAATAAAAAAAATGAGTACATAGCGATTCTAAGGGCTGTTCCCTTCAAATCGTGTAAAACGGACTCACGCTTTTAGTCACAGCTTTTTTGTTTGGTTACTTACCTGGATGCTTTCTTCTGAAGCTCTATGTCTAAGCAACAGGTGCAAATTTATGAAAAATAAATTTGAAGTAGCACATATTTTCTAAAATGCCATTAACAACATTTTTCGTACTCATATCGATCAGCTGGAACACCTGGATGAAGTTTAAATTTGTGTCAAGGCACATAATTTTTATTTGTTTTATTGTCACTGATGATACACACCAACTAAAACATATATTAATTTTATGGAATAAAGTACCGTAATGCAGCAACTACTGGACAGTCTTTAAATCAAGACCATTAGTTTTAATTTAAATTTTACATCCACTGTGTTGTTTCCACAATAATTACATTAGATCAACATGGACCTGGCTTTTGGATCATGTTTGGCCTTGCAACTTTTAAAACTGCCTGGATTTCGTCCCATGTTTACAACTTCAAAATAAATTAAATTAAATTTCATAGTTTTGATTCTTCCTTATCTTATAGCTCCCTCCCGAAGGTCACTTTTGACACCATGTGAGACTAAGAATTTGACCAGTAGTGAAAGTATCGCATATTCTGCTGTTTATATCAAATAATTTAGGGAAACGACAAAAAGTGCACTTTTCAATTGTGAGACATACTTTCATTGTTATTTACTCATTAAAATTGTCATTGAATAAATAACCAAAAATACCAAAATTGTCGTTGGTATTATAAACAATCTTTTGTGATGCTTCATTTTCGGCTGTAGGCTCTAGAAACACGAATCAAAGAAACGGACACACATGGTTTTTCAAATTACTACCTAGAGTAGATGTACCAATTATTGTTAAAGTTTATCAGTAAAAATCAACTAATTACATGAATCGTTTGCATTAATTTGTAGACTCCATATATCATACAAATAAGTGAAGCTTAAAGTCTCATTATTGAGGTAACCCTATCAAGTGTAAAGGATTGATGGATAAAACGGACTTATAATAAAGATAATTATGCTTATTTATTTTTATTTATTTATTTGTCGTCAATCAGTGTAGACCGTTTTACAATTGTTGTCTTAAGTGCTATTTTTAGAATTTTGTCTTTGTTAATATTTTTTATAATATGTCTTAAGAACTTTTAGTTGACGTTATGCGAGGAATTAAAATATTGCTTTAATTTGGTTTTTGTCATTGTAAAGTCAATGTTATCGCAGTGCTTATTATATGTATCCATCATTTGGTTCAAGGGTCCAAATTTGGCATAATTCGTACGATGACGATTTGTAGCAAATATATTTCTATTTCGTAAATGCCTAGATGGTGTATATAAATTTAAGGATGATAATAGTTCTATTGAATCAATTCGATGTGATACGATATCGTTTACGAAAGAAATCATAGCAAATTCACAACGCTCTGGCTCTTTTAATGTTTGGATATTTATGAGCTTACACCGAGCTGTGTAAGATGGCAGAGGAAATACAGTCCAACCTAACTTGCGGAGTGCATACAATATTTATTTTTTTATCTAGTTCGTTTATTTGGAAGGCTCAATCGCGTTAGCTTTACGGGCCGATAATTCATTGTTCACTGTGTGTAACAAAATTCACTTAATTCTATGTCTAGTAGGAGTTGGGCCGATTACTCGCGGCTTACTCGAGGTTAGAAGGGTACATTTTCGAAGGATAGGATCAGGGGAGGAGCTTGAGGTAGGGTTTCGTTGTCTCATCAGAGCGTTGTCGCCAGTATGAACGGTAGTGCTGTTCTAGCTTCGTCCGGAGTTCGACCGGCTATGGTGGGTGACCAGTGGGCGACGATGAGACTCATCGAGACGGGGGGACAAGACAAACAAAAACTAATAAAGAGAGACAAAAGACAAAAGGAATTAAATTCTTATACTAGACATTTGAAGAAAGACATAAACGGACTGCATATAGCAGAGATCACGGGTTGCCAACACGTCTCTGATAGGAACATAGGGTTGTCTTCCTTGGGCCTCGAGGGTATTCAAAAGTCGCTCTCTGGCGGCGTCATTATCCGTACATTGCCAAACTGCGTGTTCGATGTCATCGTAACCGTTTCCACACCGACAGATGTTGCTGTCCACGAGGTTTATTCTATTGAGATGAGCATCTAGCGAGTAGTGGTTGGACATAAGTCTACTCATCACGCGAATGAAGTCACGACTTAAGCCCAAGCCTTTAAACCACGCTCTCGAAGAAACATTAGGAATAATTGAATGTAACCACCGTCCAAGATTTCCAGTGTCCCAATCGGTTTGCCAACTCGAAAGGGTACTCTGACGCACTAAATGGTAAAATTCATCGTGTGAAATTTGCCTGTCATACAATTCGCCTTCCTGCGCGCCCACCTTTGCGAGAGAGTCCGCCTTCTCATTGCCTGGGATTGAGCAATGTGAGGGGACCCATACAAAGGTAATCATATATGATCTTTCGACCAGCACACACATCTGCTCCCTTACCTTTGAAAGGAAATAAGATGAGTGCCTACCTTGTTTCATCGACCGAATAGCCTCAATCGAACTGAGACTATCCGAGAAGATGAAGTAATGGTCTGCGGGCATGTTGGAAATCATCCCCAATGCGAAGTTGATTGCTGCCAGCTCAGCAACAAAAACGGAACAAGGTTCCTGAAGTTTGCGGAAGGCGCTAGAGTTTTCATTGAAGACACCGAAGCCAGTGGATCCATTGAGACGGGACCCGTCTGTAAAATATCTTTTCATGCAATTGACTTGTTGGTACTTTTCAGTAAAAATACGCGGAATAATAATAGGTCGAAGTTGATCGGGAATCCCATGAGTTGCTTGTTTCATGGTCAGATCATATTCAATTGAGGAACTGCGATTGGTGAAGTGAACACGGTCTGGAGTATAACAAGGAAGACACATATCTGATGATATGTAGTGGTGGTAGATTCTCATAAATCGAGATTGTGTGTTCAGCCCAAGAATTTCTTCAAAATTAGCAATTATAAGTGTGTTCGTCACTCCGCATTTGATTAGTATTCTGAGAGAGAGCTCCCAGAAACGGTTCTGGAGGGGTGTTACTCCTGCCAGAACTTCGAGACTCATGTTATGCGTTGAGTGCATACAGCCTAGAGCAATACGCAGACAACGATATTGAATTCGTTCCAATTTTATTAGGTGACTTTTTCTTGCCGAGAGAAAGCAGAAAGAGCCGTACTCTAGAACAGAGAGAATTGTTGTTTTATAAAGCGTTATGAGGTCTCCCGGATGAGCACCCCACCATGTGCCGCAAATTGAACGGAGAAAGTTGATCCTCTGTTGACATTTTTGCTTCAAATACGTAATATGGGTATTCCAAGTGCACTTTGAATCAAACCAGACCCCAAGGTACTTGAAAGACAATGATTGGGTAATGTTTCTGCCCAAAAGATTAAGCTGCATTTGGGCTGGGTACCGCTTTCGAGTAAACACTACCAGTTCAGTTTTCTGCGGCGAGAATTCGATCCCTAGATTCATAGCCCAAGAAGACAAGTTATCTAAGGAATTTTGCAATGGTCCTTGCAAGTCCACGGCATGTGGACCTCTTACGGAAACCACACCGTCATCTGTAAGTTGTCTTAGCGTGCATTGTTCTGCCAAACAGTTGTCGATATCTTTGACATAAAAGTTATAAAGAAGAGGGCTGAGACATGAGCCTTGGGGCAGGCCCATGTAACTAATTCTGGAAGTTGTCAGTTTTCCAAGAGAAAAGTTCATTTGCTTTTCTGACAACAAATTGTACAAGAAATTATTTAAAATTCCAGAAAGTCCACATCTTTGCAGATTGTCTGACAGAATTTCAATGGAAACTGAATCAAAAGCCCCCTTAATGTCCAAGAATACTGAAGCCAATTGCTCCTTGTGCGCAAAGGCCAGTTGAATATCTGTGGAAAGCAGCGCTAGACAATCGTTTGTTCCTTTGCTCTTGCGGAACCCAAACTGTGTATTTGATAGCAAGTTATTTGATTCGACCCAGTGATCGAGTCTCCGAAGGATCATTTTCTCCAACAATTTCCTAGTGCACGAAAGCATAGCAATCGGACGGTATGAGTTATGGTCAGACGCTGATTTGCCAGGTTTTTTAATGGCTATTACTTTGACCTGTCTCCATTCAGGCGGTACAATGTTGTTTTCTAGCAAGGAATTGAATAAATCTAGCAAGCGTCTTTTAGCGATATCTGGGAGATTTTTCAGAAGATTGAATTTAATCATATCGCTTCCCGGTGAGGAGTTGTTCGATGAAAGAAGAGCCATAGAGAAATCCAGCATTGAGAATGGTCTATCCAGAGAGCCGCCGCTAGGAGACGCTTCTCGAAGAATATTTTGTGCTGGAACTGAGTCCGGACAGACCTTTTTAGCGAAATCGAATATCCATCGGTTGGAGTATTCTTCACTCTCATTGAAAGA